ATACGGTGCAGTTGTCTAGGTACCGAAAACACAAAAATTAACAGCTATCCGTAAACTAGAACAAATTCAAAGAACAGCATGTCTCAACATAACAGGAGTCATGAAAACAACACCGACCAAGGCCATGGAAGTCATTCTTAGTTTCACTCCCCTTGATATTTACATCAAGGAGGTTGCTCTGACGACAATGACACGCCTCCGCACGGTTGGAATAGAACCTGATGTAGGATCTGGTGAGGCGAGACGTCGCTTTTGACAGGAGGCGCTCGATACGCTCCTACTGCTTCAAGCTAACATGGACTCCATCTCACCGAGATATATCTTCCATAAGCTATATAAAGTTATAATAGAACAAATGGAAGAGCCGGAAGTGACAGGTACGATTCACATCTACAACGACGGTTCTAAAACAAAACAAGGTTCAGGATGTGGAATATACTCCAGATTCTTAAACCTAAACATAAAATGGGCTGTGAGCAATAGTGCCAGTGTAGTTCAAACAGAGCTAACGGGGATTTTCATAGCAGCAAAAGAAATAACCAGAAACAATATCACTGAAAGGAACATGCTCAGTTATACAGATATCAGATAAGCACTACTCACCCTGAACAGACCACGAATTTACTCAGGGTTAGTACTAGAATGTCACGAAGCTTTGGCCGAAGTATCCATCAACAATGTGGTCACCTTAAGATGGATCAGAGGTCACGCCACATCGAAAGGTAACCGTCTTGCTGATTCACTAGCCAAGAAAGCAGCCAACCAAATACTTTTTGGACCTGGCCCTTCTATTGGCCTGACAAAATCGGTAGTGACAGACCTAATCAAAGAACATTCCCTTGTGAAATTCAAGGAAAGATGGGATGAAACAAGAAACTGCAGAGTTGCCAGGGAGCTCTTAAGTTATCCTGACAACACTGCAGCAAACAAATACTTGACTATGACAGACATAATCTGCGCCTAGTCACAGACATTCTGACTGGTACGAAAGCATCTCCATATCATGGGGCTGTCAGAATCCGCACTCTGCAGAGGGTGCGAACAAGAAAATGAGACCATCGAGCATATACTTTACGATTGCCCGACGCTCTCATTTATTAGAAGATTTGTGTTCGGCGAGTATCGGCTAACACCGGCCGATATAAGAGAAGCACCTCTTGGCGACGTTGTCAACTACATTAAATTTGTAGGCTGGCTCACGAGCTAGGAGGTGCCTATCATCTCAGGAGGATGCACAATGGGCCTAATGAGGCCTAAGTGCCGTGGGGGTAACCCACCCTCCACACGTTACAGATTAAGATACATGACAGTGATTTTTAAAGGAATTTTAAATTTAACGCACTTTTCCACAAAGAACGATGCCTACTCGTTTCTCCGATTGATGTTTGACTCTTCACTCACCAACAGAATTGCACTTGAGAGACAGGAATATATTGATAATATGTTATAGAAAAGGAGAGTGACCGGCGTTGTCGGTATTTTATAGATACCAGAACAGCAACAAAACAAGAAACTATGAATAATTAAAGAAATGACTAACCATTCTTTTTGTTTTTGTCTTATATTTATTTCAATGAAAAGTATGGTGAGAACAAGAAAGAAATTAATAATATGCAAACTATTTACTAAAAGAAAAAGTTCTCTCTTTGTTAGATGTAATGCATGTCATTTTGATTACAGAAGCTAGTGGGAATTCAACGAATTTATTTGATCATATAAAAAGGAAACATTCTAAAGTTACAAAAGATAAAGATAGCAGTACACACACTACAAAATTGAATTTCGTTTACATCCCTGACCTTACATGGCTAAACGGCTAAACACTAAAAATCGATAGTACTATGGATAGTTTCCTCTTCACTATCGATACTCTGACTATCGATGTTTAACCATCACAAGATTCAACATGGCCCGTTTTTTAATCAACACCTGCAACGAAATTGTGCTGATATGAGTTATGCAGTTTCATAAGTTTTTTTTTTCTTTATAATTATTTAAATTTCGTTATTTAAATACGAAACAGATAACGATTGGCTATTAAAAATAATAACGAATGATGTGTAAAAATAGCTTTTACCAAACTGAACAAGTACCTAAAATAATATTAAGTTCCACAGTGATAAGAATGTTTATTTGTATTTGCATTTAGCACTGCAGTTGTTTTGAAAAAAATACACCGAAAATATTTGAACAATGACTACTTAAATTATACCCAAACATATTGATTTAATTTGGTAATACATTTAACAAGTTGTTAATCCAGTAAAAAAAATATAAAATTGTATTTATCCCAAATATGAAATTAGATAGATACATAATTATTGATATTAGATTATTTTAGTTGAGTCAACACTTTCAAGTTTACGTTTATATTTACATTAATTTTTAAACTCCGTAAAATGGTTTGTATTGTGTTATTGATCATTATTGTCCTATATACTAAGTAGAACAAGGCCCTTAATGAAAACAAAGTCTCGATCTATAAATACATGAGAATGCTGTTTACATACGGATACCTAAAAATATATCCAATTTCATGAACTGGACTTAAGAAACCATATTAATATTAGTAAGGGTTTTAGGGCGATTGATTAAGAAAGTTTCTAAATTTAACTACCGTAAAAGAAGAGGCTCTAAATAGATTAAAAGAAATCTAAAAAAAAAGATTGGTTTTAAGTATCAAAGCAAATAAAAATATTTCTATAGATGCCGTTTAGCTTATTTTTAAATCCAGGCTATGGACATTTGACACATTAAAATATCGGTTATAAGTTCTGCACTTTTGGATATAATATTCGGATATAAAGGGTTAATATCATTTTAATATTAATATTTCAAGTAATATTCTGTGACATATCTTTTTTATCACATGAAGCGGCTTTGTCAAGTTGTCTTATATTAATAAATCTTGGAACTAGATAAATTTATAATGAGTCCAATATAAACATAAATGTCATTAGATTTACAGCCAAAATAATCCCACTGATAATGTAAATGTAAATATAAAGTATGAATAAAAAATTAACGTAAAAATTTAATTTTTGCTGCAACAATATGTTGTTCGCAAAATATTTTATATTTATACCTCATGGGTTTAATAATTTCTGTTTTGCACTAACGTCGAAAATATAGTTTTCTCCAGAGAATTTTATGAGTTTACGGTATCGAATGCACGCTTGAAATCAATGAAAGCATCCCAAAACTTCCTACCTTTTAGACGTAAATGAATCTGCACTACAGGGTTAAGTATAAATATATTATCGTCACAACCTCTGCCTCTAATCCCGACTGACATTGAGGCAGCCCATTTTTTTCTCAACCCAAGTAGACAATCTTTATAAATAAGTTCAAATAGTTTTGTATATGTATTCATTGTTAAAATAGTTTCTTTAATTTATATCTTCTTGATTAAAATCTTGCCGATCATTGTTAGAATGTATGTATTTATTACTTCACTGATCACTTTTGGCATTTTGAATACTGAATTCTAATAATTGCGGCTCCATAACAAAAGGGCGCAGACAAAAGGGCGTAGACAAAATGGCGCAGAACAAAATAGCGCAAGACAAAATAGAAGGACAAACTAGCGCAAGAACAAAATGTGGCGAACAAAATATGGCAAGACCAAATAGCGCAAACGAACAAGATATGTTTTTTATTGAATGTTTTTTATTAAATAATTAAAAAATACTTTTCCGATGACGCCTATGCAGTGAAAGTTTGGAATGTGGTTCGTCTCTCTCACATTTTAAGATTCAATCTATTTTAGCGTAAGACAATTCCACGGTTGATAAACATAATGCGACAAATTTGCGCCGAGACAAACACATGTGAGACAAGTTAGCGCTTGATATAAATAAAGTGAGATAAATTCACGCCTGTCAAATTATAGTGAGTAAAGTTGGCACTTAGTCAAGAAAGAGCGATACAAATTATTCTAGTATTCTAAATAAAATTTTAAAAAATAAATAATTTACCTAACCTGTGCTATATGGAGCCATCACGGGTTGCTGTATATAGCTCCAGGCCGCACAAGTTATGTAAATTAGTACTTTTTTTTATAATTTTAATTAGTATCTGGAATATTTTGTCATGCGCTTTTTTGTCCTGCGCTATTAAATCCTGCGCTATTTTGTCCTTGCGCTATTTTGTCCTTGCGCTATTTTATCCTTACGCTATTTTGTCCTGCACCATTTTGTCCTACGCTGTTTTGTCATGGTGCCAATAATTACGAAGAAGATACTAAAAATATTTTAGATTCATTAATTTTATGTGGCCCCACATACTTTGATTTTCTGTTACTATACGGAAAATGGTCGCACTGCGCAGCTTTCTGAGTGCCTTTTAAAAGGAGAGAAAACTCCGCCATTTTGATCCCTTATTACGTGTTGCCTACATCTTGGCGCAATATTTTTAATAGGTGCGTTTTGAATTTGAAATATATTATGAGATTCATCAGTGAAAATGCTAAAATTTCTTGAGAAAAAATGGAAAATGACGTTACAACATTACGTTTTTTGGTGGGAAGTTTGCGAACAAACAGAACTTTGACTGTGTCAGTTACTATACCGTGAGCGACTGGATTTAAAAAGAAAATTAAAGGCATTTTATTTTTTAAATAAATATAAACAATATTTTAAATTTAGAAACCTTCCTTTGAAGACCATCAAAATTTACAATTGTTTCAAAGAAAATGTCGATCCAGTTTACAGTTTTGCAGAACTTTGGGTCTAATGCAGATTAGTTGCGATACTGATTTTTATCCAAATTTCAATCAACAAGTAATCAGTTTTGTATGTTATCTTAAAAACAACTATTATCGCAATACAGTGAATCGATTTGTAAATTTCGACATCCAAACTAAATGAAAAACCATGGGCGTGACTTAAACCAAAATAAGAAGAAAAAAAACGTTAATAAAAATATTTCTTTACCTCAAAAACTTTAATAAAAATCTAAAAGAAAAGAGAATGTTAATCCAAATTATGCCAAAAACTTACCTCCATCGTATGTATAGCGGCCATTTTTTTAGCTATTTGTACCGACAGCTTTTCGTCTGACATTTCCTTAGTTAAAAGAGGTCTAGCATTAATATACTGTTCGATCCTGCCTCCAGGGAAGATTCCGTGCAATTTAGGTCCCAAACCACGTTCGGATAATAGGGTGAAAATGACGGATTCGGTGATCAAGGCTTCAAGGGCACCTTCTCCGTGGGTTTGTCCGTAGATCCTGATCAGCACCTCCCTGGGCTCGTCTTGGTCCTTGTTTGTTTCGCTAGATAAAAAGTCCGGAAGGGATACGTGGTATAATAAATTGGATAGACCGCCACTGGAAAGGAAAAATAATATATTAACTTTTCGAGTATTTGATTCAGAGTAATTCGATGGGATCTAGCTGTTTTCCAATTTGTCGGATCTTCTATTAGAAATGCGCGGGGACACTATTACTTCAAAATAAGAAAAGGATATATTTAATATTTGAACTAAAAAAAAATTAAAACTATATTGTTTTAATGGTTGAATTTTAAATTTAATAGGTTACGAAAAACTGTTTTAAAAATCTATCCTTGCGTTATTTTGGAGTATAATAATTGACTTTTTTTTAAACATATCAAAAATCGAAATTTGTATTAGCAAGTTACCTTAATTTTTTGCACACGCTGTATACTACTTGAGATGTGGGAGAGGGTGGTATGTGGAGAAGGTGAATTTAGAAAATAAATAAAAAGAAATAAAAAGAAGTACGATAGCTGTAGATTTCGTTAAAGGAGAGCTACAATAAATTTTATAAAAAGGACATTAAAAGGAAAAAGCAGCTTTTAATATTGGCGTAATATCATTTATTAATAATAAAAATAGAAGTATGAAAGTGTAGAGAAGCAACAACAAATATACCAAGATGAAGAGGTTTTGTGGAAGACTATACAATTTGGGCCTCTAGAACTATATTTTATTTTTGTATATTATTGTAGTTGATAAGTATAATTTTCACTTGAATATTAAATTAATACAATTATTTTTGCATTAATTTGTAAGTAGGTACCATCATCGTCTGTATTTACAAAATTTTTTACCAGATAATAACCTATCTCAATATTGATCTATTATATAATCTGATGTCGTGTCGTCTTATGTGATAAAATCTAATATATATAATATCTATCGATTTCATCAAAAGGTACTTAAATTAAGGTATTAAAAATACAGATATTGATCAAATTTCGTTCCTGCTGAAGCTTTCCAAAACTAACCGTAGATGTCTCATTAAGCAATATTCTGCTACTACATTTTGATAAAGCAAAAGATGCACATAGCTCTTATTTGTCAAGCAACTTTATCATTTGTATATTCAAGTGAAGAAAGTACACGAGTAAGTTTAATTCATTTCTTTACAAATACCTCTACTATATTGCAATTTATTTGATACTGCGTTTAAAATTTTCAGAAATATGCAAATTTGGTTTGTATGCAGTTATGATAGGTGTGGAAAATTATTTGTATATGCATAGTTAATATAGAAAATTAAATAAGTCATAGATATAGCAAATTTCTTGTAGAATTAAAGTGAAGGTTGAAAGTAGTTTCAACTTCGTTATTCGAGGGCAATCATATAAATATAATACGTACATTTAGTATGTAAATTTAAATTTTAAATGTCATTTCCTCGTAAATCAGATAAAACGCAATTTTATTTATTACTTTTAATTTTGTTGTATCTTTCCTGTATTTCATTATACGTCACTTTATAAACATAAATTACTGTCACTTCAGCTTAGAGTTTAATCTTCTAATTTAATAATTTTATTGGTTTTAGATTGATAAAAAGTTTTCCCATTTCCATTATGAGAGAAAAAGAAAGCAATAAATAATAGATTATCTTTTATAAATGATGATTTAGAATTGCTGCATTTTTCTAAAATATTAACGTTAATGACAATTTTGAGAATAATTAAATGTTTTAAAATATTTTTCCGTTAACAGTAATGTTCTTTTATTACAATTTATCTATATTACGACATTCCAATACTGGAATAAACAGGTTTATAAAAAAAACCACCGAATATGTAGAATAATAATTTTCCATAATTTTTTTAATGATACACAGAAAAAGCTTCAAATGTGGCGCAATAAGCATCAAAGGATGCAGTGTCGTCACGCTTGGGCCCTACGAGACTGGAGATGGACCACGGTGATAGCAGGAGGTCCGAAGAAATAAAAGAATTATATAAAACAAATATAAAAACTTTTCCTTCTAATGGTAGTTTATCTGGCACACAAACACTTTAGAAGATAGTCTAGAAACACTAAACCCGCCTTCATCACTTTCAGCTCGGTCAGATAGAGCCATCTTAGATCACTACAAACGGCCTAAGGCCTTTTAATTTTTTTTTAGTTTTTATAGACACTTCAAGACCAGTTCAGATATTCTAATGCATCGGGACGGTGGTGTAGCGGTCTATCGCGCTTATATTCATTTATAGGCAAGTTTATGAGTCTGAGACTGCTGGGTTTCGAATCCCAGACCAGACCATGTGGATTTTTAATTAAATTGCATGGTTCGGTTTAGGATTTGATGTGTGGCGTATTAATAGAAATTCAATTTCTGTTGATATGACATGCAGATTAAAAAAATTCGCCATACATTACCGTCTCGATGATGGTGGGTGAGGTTTTCCGGGTTTTCCTCACCTGTAAGTCAAATGGCACCATCAATCATCTTTAAGTCGCCCCGGAGCGCCACGGCAAATAATAATAATATCCGTCCCTTCCCCTACACAAGTCGTTCAGTCGACTTCAGGGGTTGAAATTCACTCGTAAGGGGGTGAATTAGGGAGAGTATTATTATTATTATTATTATAATGCCGCTGTAATCCTTTTAGATTCACACCAGCTAGACTTGCTAGTCATTCCAGAACTACTGCAGACAATCTAGACCACTCCAGGATTATCACACAGCCATTATAAAAAATCTAAAATTTTACGGCTACATTTTAAAGCATTCCAAATACTCTGGACCAAATCATATAGTTTAATGACATTGAAGGATTATTTTAGAGCTTTCTAAACACTCTACTACCTTTACAGCCTAAATCCAGTGCATTCTACACTGTAGTAGTACTTAGAGGATATTATAGAGATGCGCTTATATAACTAGACACTTAGGCAGCAGAGAGACGAATTACTTAGTCCAATTCGCCCACCATCGGAATTTTGTCAACAGATCTGGGTTCTTCTAAATTTGTGTCTAATAGCTTGAGCCTATGTAGTGAAGCTTCTTTAGACGATGCTAATTCAAACGGTTTAGGGTCATTAGTAAATCAATATTAGCGGAAACATCACTGGTGATGAGAAGACGCTCCTTTGTAAAAAATAGGCTTGAAACTAGGCATATTGAATATGGTAGTCCGGTAGTAATGGTAGTCCGGTAGTAATGGTAGTCTGGTAGTAATGGTAGTCTGATAATGACAAAAAAATGTGGTGGTCAAAGACACAAAAAAAAGGGGCAACAATGAGACTAAACAAGGCATAACGGGACAATTAAAATAACCTCCACAGCTGGAGTGGAAGTACTGATAGGCTTGCACTTTGTGATACAGGGGAGCTAAGATTAGATGCTTACAGGTTAGAGAAATATTAACATCTGATCACATATTCAACCGTTACTGATATAACACTTCATTCGGGGTTTTACTATCAAATAGAACTGAGATCACCAAGGGAACCGAGTGTCCAACGTCAGGAACAAACCTGGTATAGGTCTAAGTCCGTAAGATACTGTGGTTAGAGTATTCTTCAAAAACTCTGACACCAACCTTATCAGTATTTCAGGCTTGTAATGTGAACAAGATCAAACAATAGGAGAGCTACTGAAAACCGACAAATCCACCAGGCGGCCCTTAAGGCCATATCGAGTAAGAAAGTGCCGTTGAGGCTGGTATGGGATTGCATCAAAGTACTGAAAACACTGGCAGACCGAAATAAAACTAGTTTGGGTCATTAAGGATCAAGAATAGAACTACGCCCACAGCAGCAATGGAGCTACTGCTAGGTCTTCCTCCACTACACCTTGTGGTGGAGAAGGAGGCTATGGCGGCGGCATACAGGCTGTTTACTAATGGATTTGGATGGGAACTTTCGAGAAGAGGACTCCACACAATGATATTAGAGAAATTAAAACAAAATCCAGTACTAAGAATGCCATCGCATAGAACGCCCATTATTCACGACTTCAGGAAACCTTTTGATATTCAAATATCAGAAAGGGCCAAAAGCAGGGAAAATAGGGAAAAACAAAACGAATCAATCTGGTATACAGACGGTTCGAAAAAGAAAAACAGCACAGGAGCTGGGATCTACCATGTGAACTCAGGGAGGACAATTAGTTTTAACCTGGGGTCACTGACAACAGTCTTCCAGGCTGAAGTAACAGCAATAAATGCCTGCGCCAAAGTCATGCTAAATGACTCTCTTAGAGATAAGAGGATCGTTATAATGACAGTCAGGCAGCCCTTAAAGCACTGAAAAGGGTAGAAGTACAATCTAAATCAATACTTGATTGCCAACAGTCCCTCCAGGCCTTGGCAGAACATAACAAGGTCACCCTTGAATGGGTGCCAGGACATGAGGGAGTGTTTGGAAACGAGGAAGCAGACCTCCTAGCAAGGAAGGGAGCGGAAAAAACTCTTATTGGACCAGAACCCACGTGTGGTATCTCATACCAACATGTTAAATGGGTGTTAAAGGAACAAATAAAAAGAAAACACCATAGGCTCTGGATGGAACTTCCTGGACTTGGACAGTCCAAAAGATTCATAGAGGGGCCATCCACGAGCAGACAACATCAACTGCTAAACCTTAGCAGAAGCGAACTCAAGGCCGTAATAGGACTCCTTACGGGACACTGCGGCCTTAGAAGACACCTAAATCTTTTTGGGATATCTGATGACTCCCTATATAGAATACGTGAAGAGGAGGACGAAACTCCTATTCACATACTATGCCACTGCCGGAACCTTAAATGGGAACGGGAATGGTACTTCGGGGTACAATATCCGGAAATTAAAGAAATCGCAAAAGCGCCCATCAGACATATTCTTGAATTCATCAAGAAAATCAATCTGATGGGATAGAAACTGTGAGGGGTACAATAAGCCTAGAGCTTCAGTACAAGTGGGCTTTGAACCACGCCCTAATTCAGATAGATAGATAGATAGATAGATAGATAGATAGGATAGATAGATAGATAGATAGATAGATAGATAGATAGATAGATAGATAGATAGATAGATAGATAGATAGATAGATAGATAGATAGATAGATAGATAGAT